ATAGAGCCGTCGTGATTCTGATTCCGGTATTCTGCAACGGAATCAAAGTAGCTTAGTTAGAAAAGCTGAGAAAGTATATCGGTGAAATATTGGAATCATTTCAAAGGGCTGCAATTACGTTGTTAATTTAATTATTTTTAAATTCCCAGTTTTAGCATTTAAGTTGAGTCTCAGTCTTGCTTACAAGAATCGTGTAGCTTTTAAACTGCTCCCTTTGAACGTTAACAACGAGGTGTGCCATCGCCTAGTGCGCCTCTCCCATTATGCGGCAGTGCTCGCTGTCCTGTAACAATGACCCCGTTCTAATTGTTTTTTAAAGGCAGATTTATTACGCCGCGTAAAAACAAGCGATCAATTGACTTTTCGCTAGAATATTTTTAATAGATTGGTTGCAATGTCTGTGCTACTTTGCCGGGTAGAATTTTGTAACATCGCACATAAATAACAGTAAATGGTTGCAGCCCATTAAAACTCCGATTGTTGAAGGAAAGGCAAGACGAAATTTCGATTTCGCCGAAAGGGAGTTTAATATTATAATCCTGAACTGTGTGCGATATCCAAAGCGTACATACAATTTAACGAAAATATACTTTTTTTTAGAAATTGAAATAAAAGCCTAATTTGGTTTCACACTACTAGTTAAAACATACTGTAGAAAATCCAGATTCTCTTCCGTAACTCCACTCTGTCACTCATATCAAACAACATATGAAAACGAAAATATCGCGGCCAAATTTACATTCTCCCGTTTTTATTACGCCAAACGGGAATTTGTTGATAAAAATTGTTCGTTGTGTTCATTAAAAGCTAAGGCAAAATCTATCCACTGAGGAGCTGGTCCGAGATTAAAACAAATTATGCCAGAAGATGTCACCCTTGCACCCTTTTCTTGAATGAATAAAGAGCTCCTGCGTCATGGGTGTCTACAGAGGACGTTAGCGGGAAAAACATGTTATGGGGTCAGTTGAGGACATGGGTGTATCAAAGGCTTTTTGAGACGGATTGAAATGGTGATCACATCATATGAGACATGGGCTGGCTGGGATCATACCTCCTCCTACAGTTCATTCTCGTCTTAGAACAACTGGGTAATGTCAGAGTTTAGCTTGACAAGAAGAGATCAAGGACAGAGGGAAAACTTCTGCTCTTTCTGCACCACAACTGCAAGGACAGATGCTCTATTGAAAATCCAGTTTGTATTCATGACCGATATATGGATGGAAGAATATCATGCATGTCCTATCATGTCAGATATTTACAAGGACACATGGTTTTGGTATATCGACAAAGAAGATGGAAACGAAACGCCCTTGGGCCCAGAACTGA